CTCTCATATTTTGATATCATTTATTATTATTAAAAATAAAATAGTTAGGTCAAACTGTCAAAGGTAAAAAGGCGTTTAGATCGGTTAGATTCCGGTAGATTCCGGCGACCGGATGAGACCTAATTGGGTCACGAGCAGAATTCGCACTGGTTGAGGCCCAACTGCACATTGACGGAAAAAAAGGAAAGGACAGTTCGGTCAAATTCCCTCAAAATTTTTGAAACCCCAAATTCCCACCAAGATTCAACCGCCATTCCATTTAAACGCCTCCTCCGAACCACAATAAATAAAACTCCGCCTTCCCCCCACCTCCCCTTCTCCCCTCCACTGTTCTTCTCCTCTCTAGCCGCGTCGCATCTTAGTCTCCTCCACTCTCGTCACTCCACAGGTTTAATTTCTCTATTTTTTGTTCTTAATTGACATTTTTACAGAGTTTTTCTTCATGGGTTTCTTAAGGAAGGATGTTTCGTTCAATTTTTTTCCTCCTTCTTTGGCTTAACAATTTGTTTTAATTTACTTGGGGACTTGGTGTCGATCTCCCTAGCTTCTTTACAGATCTGGGTTTACAGCATTCCTGTTGTTATTTTAGGGTTTTGTCACTGAAATTTTTGCCCTTTTGTTCTCTCATGGAGTTTTAGATTTCTGTAATTTATGGATTTTTTTTTTTTTTTGTTGTCTTTGGAAAACATGGGTAGGTAAAAGATGGCAGGAAAAGGTGGGAAGGGGTTGCTGGCGACCAAAACAACAGCTGCGAACAAGGACAAGGATAAGGACAAGAAGCGTCCAGTTTCCCGGTCATCTCGCGCCGGCATTCAGGTAAATTGGGAAACCTTGAATCTGTTTGACATAATGCTAAAGTGAACTGTTCCAACTTACCAAACACAATATTCCCATAATTTCTTTTTCTTATTCAACTATGTCAATTAGGTTAGAATTTGGGACATTATCTAGGATTCTTACAGATTTGGTCTAAAAAATTTTGTGTTTTTTGGTATTCCCAGAATTACTGCTGATGTTCTCAGGATTCTGCCACTCATATTAGGGACTTTTTAATTTTTTTAAAGATATAAAATAGATTATGGTCAAATATTCATTACTCTAATTGATATTCCATTTAAATGTAAATATTATATTTGTTGTACAAAATTAATTATGTTGACTAATATTGTAAATTGTTTATTTTCTAACATGTTTTTTTAAGCTTTGGGTAATTATTATAATAAGATTGCAGTTTTTCAATTCAAACTATCTAAAAAAACGTTTGTCCATGCTGAAAATTATCAAAATGTCAATGTTATTGATAAATTCGTGTGTAACGTGGTTTTGGTCATTTTCTGTCCGGATTGACATTTTTTTAACCTATGGAGACTGACAGTAACAACTCGGTACTGTAATTATTGAATATGAGAATATTTTTCTCTAGTTTCCTTCATGTCTTTCTTACAAGTTTTGTTCTTATGTTTGAGTTCAGTTTCCTGTTGGTCGGATCCATCGTCATCTCAAAACCAGGACTTCTGCAAATGGGAGAGTTGGGGCAACTGCTGCTGTTTACTTGGCTTCAATTCTGGAGTATCTGACTGCTGAGGTTCTTGAGCTGGCTGGAAATGCCAGCAAGGATCTGAAGGTAAAGAGAATCACTCCAAGGCATCTTCAGCTTGCCATCCGGGGAGATGAGGAGCTTGACACCCTCATCAAGGGCACCATTGCTGGAGGTGGTGTGATTCCTCACATCCACAAGTCCCTCATCAACAAGACCACCAAAGATTGAGCCAACTCTCCTCCCTTAAGGATGTCATCTCTATGCCACTCTTTGGTCATTGTAGGTTTCTGTTAGGATTTATCTTACTCTTTTATCTCTGCTAGGAACATCTGGGTCAGTATATATATATATTGTCCAACTCTGTGTTTGCTTACCCGTTTCGACTTTGCCAGGATAGGCATGTTGATTGGTGGATAACTTTTTAACTTATAACTATCATGTTATGTGTTCCTTATATGATTGTGAAGTTTCTATTTTTAAATGTTAAATCCTAACAATCATGAATGTAGTATCATTGTTACGTGCTTTCTTTGTTCTTTTATTACCAAGAAAGAAGTCTAGGACATTTTGATTGCATGGAACGTCTATTCTTTTCTAAAATTAATTTTTTGACAACATTTATTGATGATTAAATCTTAACCTCTGACTTGGGGTAGTTTTCATGGACTCTTTCTACTTAGGTGTGATTCATGAATCAAATAGATTTATTCATTTAATAATACATAACTATTGCAAGATTTTACTAATATTTTATTTTCGTGGAGAAATATTATATTTCCACGCTTCTTGTTGAGGTCACTCTCTGGGATCATTGTATCTGCCGCCCAATTAATGATTCTACAAAGTCCAAATGAGCATATTTGTTCATGAGAAACTGTTAACCCTTATAAAGATTCCAACACGTCAGGATCTGCAATGCCACGCTATTTTGTTCTTTACAATCCTGTCTCTACAAAGGACTAAAAGAAAATTTTCTTCCAACTCTGTCTTTCACCCAACCATGGATGCCAAGCTTCTCCCACAAAGCTGCAGCCTTCTGAAGACCTTGTCACCTAGACATGTACATCAACAGCGTTGTTCTCCAGTTCATGCCGTTCAGGTGAGGCCACGAGACATGCCGAGTTTAAAGCCAATAGAGACCTGTCCTGGGTTAGGGATAGAAACTGGTGTTTATAAGGACAGTTGGTTTGATCTACTTGCCATAAATCATCTGTCTCGGACCCTCCAGGCTACAGCAGGTTCATTTGCTTTTCACATGGCAATTCCTCCTGTGGTTGAGAAAAAGGAATGGAGGGGATGATGACAATTGGAAACTTACATGTGCAGGGCTGAGAAGCAGGAAGAGCGGGTACGAAAGCTTGGTGGAGACAGCAACAATGGTGTCTCGGATGTTTGATCCTGAGAAACAGCGTGAACTCGTGGTCCAAAGCCTTGAGAAAGCAATTCCCAGGATAATCCTTTCCATGGCAAGTTGCTCATTTTTCTTTGTTGGTTCAGTCCTGAGAATGCAAAAAACACACTCACGTTCTGTTTGATTTTGATATCTTCCTAATTCCCTTTTCCCCCCCTATCTTTGGAGTTAAATTTCATAGTGAATTAACAAAGAGAAGGTTTTTGTTATGTAGTGCAGATAAGGACGTTTCTTCCCCAATCAAAATTTACAAGGGAATATTGCGCTGTCTTTACTACAATATTTTTCACTTGGCTCATTGGATCCTCTGAGGTAACGTTATACTTGTACATATAAATTGCCTAACGTTATTGAAGTTTCAAATTCCAGTTTCTCGTTTTTAAATTTAAATAAGAAAAGAAGTAGAAAATTGTATCGATGAAATTGTAAAAATCTAACATTGTTTTATCATTTTAACGTTACAAGGTGAGGGAATCAGAGCTCAATGGAAGAAGAGAGAAGAATGTAGTCCACATAAAAAAGTGCAGGTAACTGTTAACATTTTTTTTTTTTTCATATTTAAGCTAAATGTGCAAATTGCCCTTAATATTTTGATGTTGAGATAAATCACTGAAAAAAAAAAGCCTAAAATATATTGTTACCTCAAAATTACATTTTTAAGATATCAACCCAAACTTAATGATTGCTATTAAACTTCATTAAATTATTATTTTTGAATTGTTAAATTTGGACCATTGAATTTAATTAAACTATTACTCTTGAATTCTAATGGAAAATTAGTCATAATTATTAAATTTGAATTTATTTTTTTAAAATAAAAATTTTAAATGACAAATTGCGTCGACAGTTCTTTTAGATGGGTGATAAATTACTTTAATGCAACAATTTCTAGGAGGATTGGTTCCTATTGCTAATGCTATTTTAACCCCAAGATTTGAGTCCCACCTCACCAACTCAGACACTTTGATCCCTGAAATAATCTGCTCCAATTATTGTGCGTTGGACGATACTCTAATTGTTATCACGATGGTTGTCATAATCATAATAATCATCGTCATTGTCGAAATCATCAGTAATGTTTTCATCATCATTAGATCACCTCTGTAATTCTCTGTTACCACAATCTTGAACCTTGGCAGGTTTCTAGAGCAAACCAATTGCGTCGGCATGTGTACTAATCTATGTAAAATGCCATCTCAAGCCTTTATAAAGGACTCCATGGGAATGCCAGTCAACATGGTTCCTAGTAAGTATATGATCATTTAGAATTTATGTTTTGTTTCACATCAAAATATTGTTAAGCAAGAAAAGAAAAGTTGCAGTTCGATATATACTATAATCTGAATTTCTTGTTAAGGTAAACTTTTCTAAACATAAAAAGAAACAGTAGACACAAAAACAGGAAAAGAACAATATTTTAGCTAAATAATAGTACCTGCACTAGAATGTGAGTGGTCATGCCCATCATGTCAATGAAGGGCCCATGCACCACCATTTAGGGAGCAGAACTGCAAGTAGAGACCTCTCCAATCTCAGCTGAGAATTCTAGCATACAAATACACAATAAAACCAGAAAATGCATGTATGAAATCTTGATATTAGAGCTTAATTCTTTACTGCAAATTAGGCGTGAAGAACTCATGATTAAAACATGTGTAGCTACATTGAAGAAGTGAAACCAAATTCTACTGGTTCCCATGAAGCCAATCATTTTTTCTCTAATCATTCCATGTGTAATGTCACCATAAGCATAAAATTCCATGATCATAAGCACCCAAGTTGAACGCTAATGACTTTTCCACGTGCCATTCACTTTTTTGAGA